CGTTGTCAATTGAGTTTGCCCTATCGGATATGATTGTCAGATTGCTAATAGGACCTATGTAATCCCTAAGATGCCCCATAAACTATGTCTATGAATCAGAGGTTTCAGATTTGCCAACCCCGTAAGTTATTGGTAGTATCCCATTGTTAGCATCCATGGCTACTGCTAATAAGTTTACTCCAAGGTATCGACCTTTTAAATGTGCTCCGTCAACTATAATAACTGGGCGCATGCAAGTAATAAACGAACGAATCTACAAAATCATATACACAAGAAATATAATCATTTAAATGTGAAATGCATATAACTAACAATAATGAGTCAACAAAATTATATTGATTTACTAACCGCAGCACCAATGGCGATAAACAGCAACTCAAAGTGTCCATCTCTATCTGTTTTGATATGAGTTACCGATCCATGATTTTTCAGCTTTAAATTGTGACAATAAGCCGGCAGTTGGGCAAACGATGCTTCTGGCGACCCCCTCAACAATTCCAAGGCATAACATTTGGCTCTCCAAGCTTGAGAATATGAGATACTAATCTTGAACCGAGAATTCATGTCAGTCATAATTTCATGTCCCCGATATACCCTGCCATTCAAAAACATTAACTCAGCCAGAAAACCACCCAACGCCTTTTTGTTTGCCTGTCTATGGTGAGGAAAAACTTGGGTTCTTGAATATGTATGTTTATCAATAAAAGTCCTAACTTGAAACATTTTGCAATCTTTTATCCTCTTTGCAATCATACGCCACGTACAGTTTTTGTCAATCATACACCTTGTTTCGAAACGATCTTTGCTTGATTTGTTAACTTTTAGTTGATAGCCATCTTCCACACATTTCGTATACAAAGTTATCTTCAAGTCTTCCTTTGTATCAAAACAATCATCTTTCTTGATACGAATAATTTTTGTGTAACAATCAACTGCTATTTTTACCAACTCTTCTTCTGGTATCTGAAGTAATTCTGGCATATTCCAGTTATACTCTCGCGGCATTTTCTTCGGGGACTTTTCTTCGGGGATTTCTTCTTCTTCTTTTTCTCCTTCAGGGTTATATGAATTACAGAATGGATGTTCAACATGTTCATTCACAGTCGTAACTTCCTCCTCATTATCATCAACAACATCTTCCTCGACAGGGGTTGTTTCATCATCAAAATTCAGGTATTGACCAATATCAAAATCATTACACATAGGGTCTGTTTCTTCTTCTGAAACATCATCAAAATCCGAGTATTGACCAAGATCAAAGTTCGGGTATTGACCAAGATCAAATTTCGAATACCGACTAGTACTCACAATTTTTTCTGTTGGCTCATCATCGTCTAACTGGTTAATACGAAAACCAGAATTTGGTGCTAAAAGTTGATTGGGATTTGGATTAGGGAAAGGTTGTGGGTTTTGAGATTGTGTTTGGTATTGGAAATGTGGTGAAACAAAATTTTCTTGGTGATGAAATTGTGGTGGAACCATTAAATTTTGAGCACCATAAACTAGGGTTGAAAAACTTAGTTGATTACTACCCGCTACCGACCCAACTTCACTACTTCTAGGTTCAACAACATACAATGTAACATCATCTTGCGAAACACTAATGTAAGCAATGAATCGTTCAACATCTTCATTGTCGGTTAACAAATAAACTTTACCTTTTCTCTGATAAGATAGCCTAAATTCACTTAAGGGCTCTAAATTCAATTTATTTGCAAAACGTAACATTAGAGTTTCATAAGTTAACTTTTTAATGACAGTTTTAGTTGAAGATTCATGGGTAAAGGCATATATTGTAAAACACCATGAACATTCTCCCATGACCCTCCAAAACACAAATCTATCCAAACATGATCAACATTAGATGATTTCATTATTTTTAATTAATTTACTAAACAAACGAGCTGCGAAACTAAAACATGTTATCGGATGGGGAAGGATGTCGTTGGATATAGGAACGGATGTCGCCGGAGAGAGTGATAGATGGAGATGAAATGAGTTACGATTTAGGGATTTAGGTTATGAGTTGATGTTGCTGCGTAGTAGTTATATACACATTTGTGTTGCGAAACTAAAACCTGTTGCGAATTTGAAATTCAGTGATGCGTTAGTCAGAATCGCGTTGCGATAGTCAGAATCGCGTTGCGATAGTCAGAATCGCGTTGCGATCACGTATTATCGCGTTGCGATAGTCAGAATCTCGTTGCGATAGTCTGAATCACGTTGCGATCACGTATTATCGCGTTGCGATAGTCTGAATCGCGTTGCGATAGTCAGAATCGCGTTGCGATCACGTGTTATCGCGTTGCGATTTACATATTCGCATTGCGATTTACATATTCGCATTGCGATTTACATATTCGCATTGCGATTATCTAAAATTGCAACGCGGATTTCGAAAATCGCAATGCGATGGTCAAAATCGCGTTGCGAATCTGGAAACTGAATTGCGATAATGGAGATCGCGTTGCGATTTAGAGATCGTATTGTGATTTTGTTGGTCATTTTGGCAAATCGTAAAAAAGTTGGTTAAAATCGTATATTATAAGAAATTTTCGGTCACTGAAGTTATTTTCTCTTTAGTATATACTGAAATTGAAGGGCCCCAAGGCCACAACTTAACCTCAATGGAAAGGTAAGCGAGCTTTTTTAGTGGCTTTCGGTGTTGTGGGGAAGATGAAAGCATGTGTGTTGCCATTCACTCGTGCAATTGGCTTTACACACTAAATTTGTCCATCGTATGTGACCACTTGCGTAAACCCTAAACATATAAATTCCACGTCCAAACAATGGGTTGTGGCTAATTAACTGGAACCCCAACGGAGGATATTAGTTGCTACTTTCTACTGAACCCTCAAAGAAGGAATCCATTAGGCATAAACTCAAGTCATGTCTTTAGCATTTGTGATATTTAAAAGAATCGGGTTTGAACGAATAACATTGTTTTCATGTTCGTTTGTTTATTTTTGAAGATGTTCATGTTTGATTTATGTTCTTTTAAATTGTTAATATCATATCTATTTGTCTTTTTAAAGATATCCGTATTTAATTCATTTATCGTTCACGAACATGTTTATTTATTGTTCGCCAATGTGTGATTCGAGTCCCCTCGCTAACCTACAATCTTCTTTTATCATTTTATTTGCAAACTAAAGAAAAATATTATAATTACATAACAGTCCTTAAGCTCCTTTATTCTTCCTAATTTGAACTCTAAAATTCATCTCCTATTCAATTTAATTCATATCTTCACTCATATTAAAAATATAAAAAAATAATGAAATAAAAGGAAAAGGAAAACCAAATAAAGGAGTTTATAAACAAACTTTCAAACATGTTTGTTCATAAACATAAATAAATCAAACACATATATTCGGACTCGTTTATTTATTAAAACAACATAAAAAAAATTATTTATGCTTATTTTTTATTTATTAACAAAATGAGTAATATATTATACTAAACAATTCAGGTATTATATTCTTATATTTAAATTGCCCCCAAGCCCGGAGAAAGATCTAATTATCGGCAACGGTTCTAAATCCAGTGGAAAAACACAAGTTGATTTATTGCATTATATGGCAATCAACAAAATGTTGCGGCTAGTTTTGGTTCATTTTCACAGGAAATAGCCAAATGCACAAGCAACGTCTTGGGAGGAAAATATAAAAAATAAACAAAATGGTCCCTAAATGGGTGTTCTTTCGAGGACCACATTAAACCGAAAAATAATGAAGCCCTTGCACATGTGAAAGTATGGCTGAAACAAGCGGTTGAATTGGTTTGTTAGGGTATCTTCACCACTGTCAATGCAAACGAAAGTTCCTAAGCAAAATTTGGGGAGCGCGTGAGAAATGAGCGTGGTACTTCAATGTATAACAATCTCTCGTACATAGGAAAACGTCGCAAGAAGGCAGCACTACAGCTTACTGTCTCCACTGACATTTAAAGAAAAATAGTAAAAATATCACAGAAGAAAGAGAAACACTTGGCTTTGGCCTTAGGAAACCGGGCAGCAGCTGCTCAACCTTAACTCAAAAAATAAGCTTTCTTTCAAACTCAGCCCTTTCTTTGGTTTCTTCCAAGCTTTGGTTTCCTAGGGTTCTTTGTTTCCAAGATCAACCAAACCTAGCTAGGTACTTACCTTCAGGTGAAGCCCAACTCTGTATTTTCCTTTTTGTCTTTACTGTTAGACTAAAGCCTGTGTGTTTCAGGTTCATTTTTCAGCAATGTAGTTTTTCCTTTGGTGTTGGCGCTCTTTCAGTCTTCTTTATCAAGAAAAAAAAGTGTTTTTTTCCTACCCTATGTGTTTAAGAGTGAGTGAGGAATTGTCAAATTCTTTCTGGGTTTTTTTGCAACATTTATGTTTGCAATAATGTCTCCTTTTGTGCTTTATTTTCCAAGAAAATCGTTTTTTTCTCTGCTGATTTTCTTCTAGGAAAAGAAAATGTGACTTCAACTTTGAAATGCCAAAGCATGTTTAAATCTCTCTCTGTCTCACTTCCTTTCCCTTTTCCCAGTAAATGAAGAATAGTCAAGTTCCCATCCCTTCTTTCTCAAATTTTTAGCTGCTCAAGTACTTTGGACTTAACTTGGAACAACTGTTTTTAGCTCTGTTTTAAGCTTACTTTTCACTTGCTCTTGATTTGAACATCTTTTATTGGTCTTAGCTTAGACCGCTGAAGATTGAACAGTTCCCACCCTGTTTTTAGCTATATATATATACACTTAAGTGAGGCCTTTCCTTGAAACTTTGTTTTTCTTCATTTGACTCACTATATTCCTAAGTTTTGCTTTGTTTTGTTAAGTCGTTTTTTCATGCTTTACTTTCTCAGTTAACAAGCATATTTGAAGATGAAAATTCTAGATTTTTCTTGGAGTTAAACGAGTTCTGATCACAAATTTTCTGTACCAAAATGAAAATATAGGGAAAAATATTTTGTTTATTTATTTATTTTTGGAGGGGGTCACTGATTACAATAAAATGGTTTTGCATCATATTTTTCTCTACAAAGGTAAAAAGAAGAAAACAAAAAAAAAAAAATGGTTGGAAAAGATGGCGTTCTCAGTAATGATATTTTTATGAATTAATTTGATGGCAACCTTATTATTTATCTATTTTGATTTCCTTTGTCTTTCCTTGTAAATCTTGTCATTTGGTTATGGTTGGTGATAGTGGGATTAGCTCCCATGGAGTTTCTTTGAAGGCATTGTAATTATATTGTATTGTTTGTCTGTTAGGCCTTTTTTGTATACTGATAAGAGATTGAAAGCCTGCTTTCATGAACCATTTGTTCTTTTCTCTATATTTATGTATTCAAATTCACCCTTTCATTGTTGTTTCTCAGCCTGCAGTTTCTTTGAACTATTTGCAGGTGGTTTGGGTCAGGTGGCCATTTGTGGGGTTTGAACTTCAAATCAGAGTACGTATATTTTGCCCTTTCATCACTTCGATTCAACTCTAAAGGAATATCGAATCATGCAGACGCCTAAAGCAAGGTAAGATCCTCATTCGCCAATGTGTTTATAGCATTCTAATGATTTGTTTTGCCCCCCTTAAACTAGGCTGTTTATTGTACTTGGTGTCCTTGAATCCTTCATCAGTGTTAAATTTTCCTTGAAAAGAAAAGAAAAAAGTCTTGTTTTTGATGAATTGATGTTATCTATCAATGATTGTCTCCTAATTTTAGATGTTTTGCTTGTTGCCTGCTTATATGGTTCGGGGTATATTTAAATGGTGGGACATCGACTTCATGGTAGTTGTTGGCTGCAAAATCTTGGAGTTGTTGGTAGTCTATCAATTTTTGCCCCACCGGATGTGCAATATATGATTTAACCTGTCGATGAGTTCCGATTGTAGTTACGTCTTCTTGGAAGAAACCGATTATATGATGCAACTGTTTTCTTTAGTCATAGGTTGCATCTTTTAGAGTCATCATCTATAAGGTTTATTGATGTTGTTGTTGTTTTGGACAGTAGAACAAGCTCTGCAGAAGTGCCTCAGAGAAAATCTCCTGCAACGCCTCGGACTGCTCGTCAACTGAAGATACCAAGATCTGATTCGGAAACAGTGTCTTCACCAAATACTAAAAGTAGGACACCCAAAGATAGAAGTCCAAAGGTTACCGAGCGCAAAGTATTGAGAAGCCCAGTAGCTGAGGTATTCCTTCCGTCACTTCGACCTTAAGTAGATTGTTTTTATGTAAATCTAGGATGACGCAACGACAATGATGATATTTCGATTCACTGTAAATTGCGATATTGCAGGATGTTTTTCTGTTAACTTATATTTATTACCATTTACATATTGTCTGCACTTGTCTTGTGAGCTTTAGAAGAAGCAACTGACCAGAGTGACTGAACTGGAGTCGCAACTCACTCAACTTCAAGAGGATTTAAAAAAAACGAAAGACCAACTGACTGCCTCCGAGTCGTGGAAGAGGCGAGTCATGCAAGAGGCTGAGGAGGCCAAGAAGCAGCAGTCTGCAATGTCAGCCAAGCTCCAAGAAACCGAACAGCAATTGCAGGAAATTTCTGCCTCTGAGGATGACCGCGTGCAAGAACTATGTAAAATTTCTCAAGACCGAGATCGAGCATGGCAATCTGAACTTGAGGCAGTCCAGAAACAGCACTCAATGGATTCTGCTGCCTTGGCTTCTGCCATGAATGAAATTCAAAAGCTTAAAGCTCTGCTGGAAAACATATGAATCTGAGGCTGTTCAAATTAAGCATGCTGAATCCGCACATGCCGAGATTCAGAACTTGAGGATCGAACTAACCGAAACTCTCTCCTTGGTTGAAAAACTTAAGTCTGAGCTCGCTAATTGCAGAGAATCTGAGTCCAATGCTCTTGAAGTTGTTCGAAAAACTCAAACACAACTCGAAACAGCAAATGAAATGGTCGAAATGCTGCGTTCTGAAGGGACTAAAGAAACTGAAGTTCACAACACATTAACGCTTGAATTAGAGCAATCAAAAGCTAGAGTTAAGTCACTGGAGGGACTTGTGAGCAAGCTCCAGGCTGAATTGATTGGTAATAGCAACAAAACTTTCGAGGATCCCCAAGACGGTAAACTACTACAGCAGAATGTAGAAAATGAGGACAAGCAGAAGCTTAACACGGAGCTTAATCTCGCAAAACTTGAAGTGAGTCAACTGAGATCAGCACTAGATGCAGCTGAGGTTAGGTACCATGAAGAATATATTCAGAGAACACTGCAAATTAGAGGTGCATATGAACAAGTGGAGCACATAAAAGCGCAATCATGCCAGAAGGAAGCGGAACTGAAGGAAGAAGTAAAGAAAATGAAAGCTGATGTTGATGAACTGAGAGGTAACTTGATGGATAAGGAGACTGAAAAGCAGAGTATTTCTGAGGAAAACGAGTGGCTGAATTTGAAGATTGAGAAGAACCAGTCGGACCAAAGAGAATCTGAGCTTGCAATAGAGCTGACGAAGTTAGAGGCAGATTTGACAGAACTGAAAGCAAATTTGATAGCAAAGGAAACGGAATTGCAGGTCATAACCCAGCAAAATGAGATGCTCAAAATGGAAATTAAGAAGACGGAAATGGATAGCAATAATGTTGGTGAAGAGTCCGTTGCGTTGTTAGAAGCAGCACGGGCTGCAGAGCGAGAGGCGCTGATGAAACTTGGCTATTTAACTGAGGAAGCAGATAAGAGCAGCCGAAGAGCAGCACGGGCGACCGAGCAGCTCAATGCAGCACAAGAAACAAATACAGAAATGGAAACCGAGTTGCGGAGACTGAAGGTGCAGTTAGATCAATGGAGAAAGGCAGCTGAGGCAGCTACTGCCATGCTTTCGACTGGGAACAGCGGGAAACATTCGGACAGGACAAAATCTCTCGACAGAAACTATAACCCTGGAGCTGGTTTGCCGAACTTGGAAGAAACGGATGACGAGGATTCACCCAAGAAGAAGAACGGAAACATGTTGAAAAAGATTGGTGTGTTGTGGAAGAAAGGCCAGAAGTAATAGCAAATGCATGACAGGTTTCTATGTTGCATGTATCTCTGGTCGAAAACGTAGAATGGTTTAGGATGTTTTTCAGTTTATCGAAAAGTTACCTTAATTTTGTTCTTAACATGTCTGGTTGGGAGTGATTCTGATCATGCTTTCAATGCCATAGAAACCTGTTAAAAGGCTGATTTCTGTAAGAGGATTATATTATCTCTGGGAAAACTTGCTCATTTTGTTAAATTCTGCTCCACCCGACATATCTGGTAGATTCGGATCTAAAACTTGCACAGGAGTACCTGTTGGTGATGCTCATGCAAATGCAGACACTGTATCCCACATTAGAGCAAATATTCCTTGTGAAGAGTATTTAAAGAGTTTTCTCTTCTTTCTTTTCTTTTTGTTGGAAATTGGACAAGATAACTCCCTCGCGTAAGCATCCTGCTTTAACTATTACATGATGAGTTATGGTTGTATCTTTGACATTTTGGAGAAAATTTTCTTTTAAATTATTTTTTATAAATTTTTAAACTGATAAATTGATTTGCAGTAATTATATTTAATTAGCGTGCAGATAAAAATTAATTGCTAATTTTATCAGTTATTAAACGAGCCTTGATTTTAACAGTTTATCTTGCTGATTTAATAGTTGTTTCAACAGTTATTTTTTTATTCAAACTTGGACTATTTTGTGGCCAGTTATATGATAGGAATTATAGAAATTACTTATTTAAATTTCGAAAATAAAGCAGTGTTTATTACTGATTAATATTTTACGATTTTAACCCTTTCGTTCAGCCTATGAGATGATTTTCTCGGTTTTCATATTTACAAATTTTCTCAAACACTATATCTTTTATTCGGGTGGGAAGAATAATTTCACCTTTGTCTATTCCGATATTCTAGTGTACAATTACTCGGAGCTACCGTGTTAACCTCGGAAGACTTACATCTACTACAAGGATTATACTTATCGAGGTGAAATCGTTTCTAAGGCTGTAGATTCATACTACGGCACGGTTATTTCTTTGAGGTTTTATTTATTGTTATTATTATCCAGTAAGCGTTAAAAATTCCATTTTGTAGTCTAGTACCTATCAATCTTATTATAAGAAACAAAATGATTGTTGTGATTTACACAAAGTCTGATACTATATTAAATCCTATTGTAAAACATGGGGAATCGTAGAATGAAATGAAAAACAAAAACAAAATATCAGTTATTGAAACAAATAAGGATTTTTGGAAATGAAGAGAATTCAAGCAGCAAGTTTAGTGGATTCATGCTCCACAGCAATCTTCAAGAAGCTGCCTTCTTCCAACACCATTTGAACTGGCAAGAACCCCATCCCGTTCTCCATAGCAAGCATCATCCGCTTTGTCTCTGACTTGAACTCCTCCAAATCCACCGTCCCGTTCGAGTCATGATCGAACTGCACGAACAGCGACTCGTAAACATGAGCCAGCTCATTGGGGTCCATCTTGACGTCGACCCCGAAGTGAGTCTCAAACACCCTCAAGCTCTGCAATTCCTTCAACAGCTCTGTGTAAGACAGTAGCCCGTCATGGTCGGCGTCCAGGTGAGCGAACCGGTTCAGTATTGTGACATTGAACGCTTCTTCATCTTCGACGAAGCTAACAATGGTGGCACTGTCCAACACTTCCACACTCATCCTTTCAGATATTTTAGTTGGCTTCCTAATATCAAAAGTGTGGCTGAAAACTTTAGATAATACAAGAGAGACTACAAAGAAGATGCTTTAGGAGTTTATTGATTAGAAAAATTGGACTGTAATCATTATTTATAGTTGAACCTTGAAACAAAATTCCGAAATGATCAATCATCTCTTCTTATCTTATAGGCTCAAACCGATTTCTTTGCCTTTTTACCGTTATTCACACTTCTTTGATTATTTTTGACTGTTTAAGTTGTGGAAGTAATAGGGGATTCACCGTTTTTTATTTGAATGGACAGTCGTAGGTTAAGCGGTTATCAGCAGGGGTTAAGGTATTCTATCTTCATAAGTAGTTGAAGAGGGATGAGCGATTCTCGTTCTTGGATGAGGTGTTTTATAATGATTTTCAGTGTGTTGTGAAGTCTATGATCATTATGGATATTAGTATGGTTATAAATGAGATGAGACATATTAAGAACTACTCTAGATTGACTCGGTCAAAGTTCGGTCAACACTCAAACGAATAGACTTGAGCTCATCCCGAAAAAATAATATATTAAAATTTTAAATTAAATTATTAATGATATTAATATTTATATGTTATTATTTTTTAAAAATATAATAGAAGGCTTTTATGTATTTAAGATAATTTTTATGTTCTTTTAGTTTGCTAGGGTTTCATTTTTGGGTTGTTTGCTTTTAAATCATCTTACCTTTAGCGTGTTTTTATATTTTAGTTTCTACTTTTTTCGAATTCAGCCCATTGTTTTATTTGCATTTTGTTTGAGTCACTATTTACTCATTAATACACTTTAGATAATATTTTGATTATGGTTGCTAATTTTTAATTTATTCCATTTTGATCCTTCTTACTTATTTTATATGAGAATGCCTTATTTATGATTTAGATCATTCTAGCTTTATTTTGTTTTCATTTTAATCACTGCATCAGTTTAGTTATTTAATGAAATAATAAGGATAAATACATTGATAGCCCTCTGTAATTTTTTATTTATTTTGATTTAGTCCCTATACTATATATATATACACGCATTTTCTGTATTAAATATTATTTTTAAAACGCATGTTTATACATAATTTATCAAAATATAAGACAATATTATTTTTGTGCGATGAATTTAGGGGAACGAAATTTAACTGACAAAGATTGTGTTCCCAAGGATTGTTCGTACAAAATAATATTAATTTTTTTTCAAGTATTTAATTTTCAAAAAAATCAGAACGGTATTATTTTGCATGGAGAATCTATGGAAATGCGCTTTAACTAAGAAGGAAGGTGTTTCCGAGGATTGTTCGTGCAAAAAATGATACCCTTTTTAATTTTTCTAAAAACGGATCAGAATTTAAATAGCATTCAAATCTACAATTTTCAAACATAAAGATGATGTATAATCGTTTAGGTATTGATTTCGGACACTATAGGGATGCTCACTCTTCTCCACGCGTAACTGACCTGCAAACCCTTTTTCAAAACGAGTTTATGGTAAAAGCATGGTAATTTTATATTTTAAATTGATTTTTCTTTTAAAATAATTTAAAAGATATTTTGAGGTATTTGACCTACCTTACCCAAAAAGTCAATGACGACTCCAAATCATTTGTTTTCAAACCCCAATCTATTTAAAATTAAGTTAGTTCGAACCCCGCCTAACTCCTAAAGAAGCTTAAGCATCGTTCTGACATCATATTCCGAACGAGTGTTCAATGTTTGAAACTCTTTCTCCAAATAAGCTCTTCTAGGATCTTGACTACGGGAGGGTTCTTTTGTAACCCCTTTACCCAACCTAGATGAAACATGTCGGATCCAGAAGATCCATTGACTACATTCCCCAAAAATTTACCCAAACATTATTTTAAATACAGTAAAATTAACCCTCACATTTATTGATTTCAAATACTTAAAATAACTGAAATAAATCAAAAGTAATTAAAAGCATAAATCAAACGTATACAAAATCCAAAGTTCAAGTCCAAAGTCTAAAACAAAATTAATGTTCAATGTTCTAAAATATTTATACATAATAAATATTATCTAAATAAACTACTAATAAAATGTGGAATCAAAAATCCAAGTAAAATGGCATACCAAGAATAATGAAATATGAATAATGTCGTAACTTTAAGTACCGATTCTCCTAACCCAAATATTTGAAGGAGATAAACTAAGGGGGTGTAAGCTAATAAGCTTAACGTGTCTCTAAAGTGCAAACAAACACAAGTCATAGCATAGCCCAAATCAACCAATATTTAATCATAGTCTGAATCAAAATGTGATAATCTAATATTTAAATGTTATACAAATATTTATGCACCCACCTATACTCCTGTCACATCATCTGAAGACTGCGTTCTCAGAACCACATTATTTACAATCAAATCATACCATACGAAGTGGGGTTCGTCACATAGGCAGAGGCCAATGAATCTGAAAGCGACATTCACCTCGTCAAGTGAATGCATTAAACTTCCCCTATCAAAATTCGTCTCAATATGACATGCAAAATGACATACAAATCCGATTTTCGATCCGATCTGAATAACAATATTTCATAACAAATATTCTGAAGTATATATTTTGATTCTGACAATTCCACATATTTACAAATTACGTGTGCACAACAAGGTTTCAAATCCGACAAATCAACATGCATTACATAATATTTTCCTAATCACATTTAACAGAATTAATTTTTCACAATCAACATGCTTTCGAATAATTTTCTAAACAAACAACCAACCAACAATACAAATATAACATCGAATAGAGAGACACACCTCGACAAAATATCCTTATGAGAGTCGACGATTCAAATGTTAAATTAAATTTACTACTTTTCACTAACCCCTATCAATTCTTGAAATTCGAGTCAATTCAAAATTAGTGGGTAACGACAAAGAGTGGTAAGTTCATTCTCGATTCGATTCCTCTTACAAAAATTACAACATCCGATTAAAATCTCAATCAACGATTTTCTAAACAATTGACGTTAAAATGACGTAATAATATTTTTGGTTCGAGAGCCATAAATTTTAAAATAATTTTCAAATAACTACCCATTTCTTATTGATATGTAAGAAAAGAGTGGTGATTCACCTTGAAAAAAATGATATAAACAAACATTATTGATCGAAACCATAAATGACATAGTGAACCGAACCATGTAATAATTTCTCCTAGTTTATGCACATTTCCTGGACTTTTATTTTACATTGTCCAGTGTAATTCTCCCATATTACTCTTTCACTCTACCAAATTAAACAATGTTGAATGTGTGAATCAAGTTCATGGTACAATCGTATTAATAATGAGTTTGAGTTGTCATCCTTTCAAATTTATCTCGAATAATTCATTTCTTTTTCTTATAATTTTTTTTTGAAGAAATATAACTTATTGAAATTTTTAATAGTAAAGGAATATGTTTTTTTCTTTCTAAAGAATCTAGATTCGGGTAATTGTATTTATAGAGTGTGTGCGTTGTCGATAACAATTTTTT